ACAATCTGTTTTTACACGTCTAGGTTGAGTTGTCTCACAGCACCTCTCTTGAGGCTCCATGTCTCATCCCCAGCTATAATACACATGTTATGTTTTAAACATTTCACTCACAAAATTTTTTTAAAGTGGTGTATATTTAGTAGTTTATTGAAAAGTCACAACGCACTGGGATATAAATGTGTAAAGCTTTATAGCTTTATTTTTTCCCCCTCATCATGATCTCAAGTTTTTTCTATCAAACCATCTTGCTTCAGAAGTGTCACCTCTTTTAATGACATTGATGGGCTTCTAAAACATTAAGTAAGTTCAGTTTTCAAATAGTCTTATTTCATTTTAAGACTCAATCCTGGAGCACTGTTTTTTCATCCTCCCAGTGTAAGATAGAGCCTTGGCTCTAGTGACTTGCAGGGGGAGGTGAGGTGTGGTTTATGATCTGTTTTTCATATACCTCTCCCTGTCTGCTTCTTCCCCCTGCTGGCTCCCCCAGTGTGAGGTGGAAGAGTAAGTGGGAAAAGACAGATCTCCTTTTACTTGCTGAGGAGCAGTTTTTGGCCTCTCTTTGTTTGGCCCACTGTCCATAGGGTGCTAGTGTCTGATGGTGGCTTCAGTCTGCTCATCAACAGAGTCTCAGAAGAGCTTTCTATGTTGCCACAGTATCTTGAAGTTTGGGAAAAATTTTCTGATTGACTTCCAGATGTTGGCATCATCACACATTTTTCTGATATGTGAGCTTCTTTCTTTCACTACTCTGGTGATCTCAAAATGATCTGCTCTCCAGGGCCAATTCTTGGGCTTGTGGACATCTGTGGGAACCAGGATTTCAAAGGAGAGTGACCTGGCCCATTCACTGCCTGGCAGTCTTCCCCTGAACCACCTCACTCCATTTTTTTCTTCTCCTGCTTTTGGTAGTAGAGGGAGATTGGCATGTAGCCCAGATATTCCCTACATGGATAATAAGGAAACAGAATGCCTGCACTTATTTCTTATCTGTCCAGGGGAAGGCAATGACACTGGCAATGACACTGGCATCCCAGTGTTCATGAGTTAGAGCTTCTCTCTCTAGCCTTTTGATAGCTTCTTTTTATAAACACTACAGTGGAGACCTCTTCTTTTCTAACCCCACACTGTCTGTTATGGTAGCCACTAGCTACATGTGGCTGTTGAGGTCTTGAAATATGATTGATTTAATTGATATGTACTGTAAGTGTACAGCACACATCAAATTTCAAACCAATATAAAAACTACATAAATTTTCTAGGTTTCAAGTTATTATATATTGAAATTTTTTGAATATTTAAATAATATGATATTAAAATTAATTCTATGTGTTCATTTTTACCTTTATTAATGTGAGTATAGGAAAATTTTAAATTACATATGGCTTGCATTACATTGTTTTTATTATTGAAAGAGAGTGAAAGCTCAAGGTGGGGAGGGGCAGAGAGAGAGGGAGAGAGAGAGAGAATCCCAAGTAGACTCTACACTATCTGCAGACCCCAATGCAGTACTTGAACCCAAGAATCATGAGTCACGACCTGAGACAAAGTTAGACGCTTAACTGACTGAGCCACCCGAGCACCCCTTGCATTATATTTCTGTTGGATAATGCTGATATAGGAGATAGGGAATGTCAATTAACCTCTGCAGGAAACTACTATGATAATTTAGATATACAATGATAATTTAGAATGTGGATACCTAGTGTCTGTTGTTTTTAGCTTTTGATTGTCACTTACAAATTAGAGACCACAGGAATAATCCTACCAACAGTAGCATAGAAATTTGTTCTTTTTAAAATCTATTGAAAAGTTTTCCTCTGCTTATACTATTAGTCCTGAAAACATGGGTCAAAAATTGATTTGATCCATATATTGGGCCATCTGTTTATACCACCTAAGTTACAATATTAGGTAAAAGCCAAGGAGATATTTTTTAATTGAAGTCCCAATGAACATTGAAGTGAACAGGAATGTAATGAAATTATACTACAATGAAAATCAACCAAGGTTATGGATAAAAATTATTATATTATTAGGAAATTTTGTGGTAAATTTTGATGAAATGGTACAAATTATTTCCATCATGCTTGTTAGTATTACTAAAATATTCCAATTATTTCTCTAAAGTAATCTAAAAATACATCCTATACTGCAATTCAATTTGGCTTCATCTTAAGCACAACTTACTGCATTAAAAAACCATTGTTTAAATCTGTTTTTGTGAATGAGGTGATAGGTTATATCACTAAATAAAATGAACATGATTTCTTTTTTTAAAGTTAAAATGAAAATGTTCTAATCATTTGTAAATATAGGTTATCATTAACTACAGAATTATAAGAACTTATCTTTTTAGAAAGCCATAGAGAATTGTTACAAGAACAGCAAACTCTATCAAGGTAACCTCTATTCCCTTATTATAGTCATTATGAAATATTTAAACACTTACTTAAAATGAAGTTGTCCTTTCCTTCTGCCTAGATGTCATATCTTCTTGGTGAAAGAAATGTCTAAAAATACTCTCCTTCTCTATCTAATTGAGTGTATATGAGAGTATGTCATAATTGGTATTCTGATTGCACTCAGATTCCTCATCATACCCATTTTTGTTTCAATACTGTCATTATCATAGTTTTACATTATCATACTTAAAGCGCTTATGATATATGCAGAGAAAGTTGTAAAAGATGAGAGTTGTAATTGTAGGTCTTAGAAAAAAATATACACGAGAGTTTCTGAAAAGGACATTTAACCATGAAATAATAAAAATAGAAATAACTAATAATCATAAATGACACTCTAAACAAGGAATGTAAAGATGGCCTTTCAAATCCAAAATGAAGACATTTAAAATGTTAATATTATTGATCTAATCTATGTTATCTATCTTACACTATTGGAAAGTTCTTATACTTTTAAATTTCAACTGGATTTCAGATAAGAAGCATGAGAAATGAGAAAAGTTTAGGTTTTGCTTTTTGTTTCTCTTGAAGGATTTATACTCTAATGGAAGATTCTTTGGAAAACTAAAGCACATGATTAAGGCAGCTCTGTCACTCTTTTCCAGCTGCTATTTTGAGCTAACTGCTGACCACAACACCCACTGCTTAACATTGTCATTTTCTTGAAATTTTTTAATGTTTTATTTATTTATGAGAGAGAGAGAGACAAGGTAAGCAGGGGACGGTCAGAGTGAGAAGGAGATACAGAATCTGAAGCAGGCTCCAGGCTCTGAGCTAGCTATTAGCACAGAGCCCGAGGTGGGGCTCAAACCCACGAACCATGAGATCATTTCTATTTGAACTGAATATTTCCAAGAAAGCTAAAATCACTTTAAAATCTGTATAATTTAAAAAACAAGTATAAAGACTTTGTTCACAGTAATCCGCACACACATATATACCACATACACATATATATAAATAAATATATATGAACATTTTTTTCAAAACAAAAATTAGATTTTGATCAATTCTGAGAAATAGACCAAAATTGTTCATAAGGCAAAATACTATAGGCTTGAGCATTTGTTTGAATTTGGATAAACAAGATAAAATATTGTAGTATAGAATCAGAGACATTAAAATACAGAAAAAAATAAATAAGATGAAATTACATGACCTCTTAATATCTATACGAGGGCCATCCAAAATCAGGACCAAAAAACTTATGAAAACCACTGAATTTTACAGATATCTAAGATTGAGAGGTCTATAATTATTATATACTATCTTCAATTTTCAATTACTTACCAAATAAATATCCAGACTGTTTTATATGTCCTTGATTAACCTAAATGTCTTAAAATGGTACCTCCTCTTGAGGCTCATTAAATAGTAAAAAAAATTATAATTTATGATGTAATTTAGCCTTGTCTCAGAAAAATCTTTAAAATGGGATAAAATACTTATTTGAGAGAAATAGTAATTGATGTTTCTTCAAGATAGATGATTTATTAGATTTTATTATTTATTTATTTTTTATTACTATTTTATTTCCAATCTTTACTTGAACAAATTTATAGCTCAGCTTGACAATCTTTTGGAAGTGGTTGACAAAGATGTGCTTCCTGTTTATGTGTATATAGATTGGAGAAGAGGCAAATATGGATTGGATATCAGAATTCTATTCATAAGGAACAGATTTAATAATAATCCTTTTTAGTCAAAAGCAAACAAACCTAACTTCTCACTGTTATAGCACAAAGTGCAGATTTCCTGGTGGCAGCAGCTCAAGGAACAGACCTCTAGAATCTGTATTTTTAAAATGGTCTCCAGGGAAAGCTGATGTAGCCAGTTAAAACCAGTCCTCAATGCATTCTGGGAAATCAGTCCTGGAAGTGCTTTACATTCTAGCCTTAGTGAAAGAAGTGGTTCAGGAGAAATTTACATACCTAAGATTTTGTTTTCTGCCTTGACATTTATGGAGTATATTTTAATATACTACCTAATCTTAGTTGGTGACTTCAAAAGCTTGTGTTAATATTTTGTTTTAGTTTTATATATTCAGTGATATTCTCCTCATGCTTGATAGAATATGCCTTCTTGTTTCTGGAATGCTTTGAAATCAACCAGGTTAATTTAGATGCTTGAAAATATTTACAAGTAAATAATAGCTTCTGTATTTAAAAAGATATAATCAATTCCAACTTGGAAATATTAATAATCTTTTTCCTCTTCTCTAACTCCACTATTTCCTAGATAATTCTAACAATCTCCTAAGAAACCTTTTACCTCTAGTATTTAATTATTTATAATTGTTGATCACAGAGTGTCTTCCTGTGGGGTGTTGAGGAGAGGGAACCGATCTCTTTTGCTCAGTAAAAAATCCAGCCTTCATAACATGGCACTCACAAACTTCAAATTTTTTTTAAATGTTTTTATTTATTTCTAGGAGAGAGAGAGAGAGATAGCATGAGCAGGGGAGGGTCAGAGAGAGAGGGAATCACAAACTCTGAAACAGACTCCAGGCTCTGAGCTCTGAGCTGGCAGTCAGCACAGAGCCCGACGCGGGACTCGAACCCACGACCCAAGCAAAAGTCGGACGCTTAACCGACTAAGCCACCCAGGCGTCCCACTCATAAACTTTAAAAGTGCCTTCTGATCCTGCCAGAAAGAGGTTTCTCCTTACTCCCATATAATATTTTGAAAGTACATAGAATTTTAAGTAATCACATTATATTGTAGTTATTAGTTTACATACACTATGTGAACCAGAAATGAGCATCGCTGTAATAGAATTATTTCTAGGTCTTAAGTAAAATACAAATCAAAGACAAGAATATAGACTTTGTGATGTCCACTGATCATATACCATCATGGTCTAAGTTTAGTTTGAAGAATTTGATTTCACAAAAAGTTCATTTGTTTCAGTGTTACGAAACAGGCTCCATTCTTCTCCCAATTTCACAATTCCTCCTCATTGAAACTGATCCAGTTAATTGCCAGGGAGACTTAAGGTGAATGTAATCTGAAGGCCCTTAATATTATCATCTTACTTGCCATTCCCTTAACTTTCAGGCAGATTGATATATAATAATTTGAAGACATTGAAATGCCTATTTTGCATATGGTTTATGGGAAGTTACCTCCTGTTTTACATTAGAGAAGACAAAACACTATGGAAGATTAAAATAAAGATTACAGTTGAGAGATCAATAAAATAAAAGGTCTTTAAAAAAGGAATAAAGCTATTATGCAAACATAAAGTCCTTTTAGGTAGAGGTAAGATTTGAAAGGTTTTCTTTCCATCTGTATTCCTTCCATTTTCCTTCCATTCTGTTTAAATCCCAGGACTGTGCATGACTTATATCACATTAAAGAGTTAATATTAGGTTTCTCATTTCTGAATACCTTAAAGAGAGAGACTATAGACTACTTATCTTTGAATATTCCTAAAGATGTAATTCCCAAAATGCAGCAGTCAGGCTTTTGGTGAATAAATGTTTGTTGACTGACTATAATCTTTAAAAAAAAAATCACAATTTTAATCTTATCTATTTATTAGCAACTACTTGACTTATTACATAATATTTTATGACCATATTCCTCAAGTTATATCAGAAATCTCTGAAGCAGATTAGAAGGCTGAAGCCTTTCAAAAAATGATTTAGGACTTTTGTTTTTGACAATAGTGAAATGAGTAATCTGGATCAATTCTTCCAGTAAGAATAAAAGAGTCTGAAAAAATTTGTAAGATATCTTAAAATCATTGAAGTTGTCACACATTATTTAGGAGGAGTTGTTAAGATGACAGAATAGTAGGGGGACTCTGGGCTTGTCTCATTCCTGGAACACAGCTAGATAAACATCAAACCATTTTGAACATCTGGGAAATCCATTTGAGGATTAAGAGAACAATCTGCACAATTCGAGGAAGAGAATGTGGCAGGTAGGTGTTGTAGAGAAGAGATTTCAGGGAGAGAAAGGCCATAGTGCTGTAGAGGGTTGGGAGATCTTTTCACACAGAGAGGAGAAAGGGGGAGAGAGAACAGTGCATTTGTGCAAAAAAAGCACTCTCCCTAAATGATTAATGGGAAAATCATGAGGAACTATCACAAGTTTTTGAAAACAGTAGAGCTGAAATTCTGAGTTTTTGGAGGTCTGTACCATTTGTTGGAATAGACCCAGTAATGTGGCAGTGCTCCTGGAAAGAAGCAAGGGAGACCCAAAATGCACAACAGACAGCGTGGTGTGGAGATCCCCTGGGTCCGACTGGGAGAGAACATTCCTTTTCCTGGAATGCATTTACAAGAGCGTATTTTGCAGATTTTTCCTGTGTATCGCCATAAACTCTAGACACCTCTGCGGCTGTGAGACTCCTTTTCTGGGACAAAATGGCATGAGGCACAATTCTGTAGAGCTCTCCTCTGGAGGAAGGGATGGTCTGTGCCTTGCTGGGTCCTTTAAGATGTAAAGTTTTGAATCCCTGTCATATGCCAGAGATAAAACAGGAGAGCAGTTGTGTCGGATGTGTGGATGGCCCAGGCATAGAGGGGTTGAGAGCTAGAATCTGACAGAAGCCTGGGACACGGGAAGGGAGACTGTTTATTTGAACAAATTATAGCTGAGAACTTCCCTAATCTTGGGAACAGCAACAGCAACAAAGACTAAAAAGAAACAGAGGCCATCAACAGGGACAGCAATTTTACAGGTAATACAATGGCACTAACTTCATATCTATAATAATTACTCTGAATGTATATGGACTAAATGCTCTAATCAAGAGACATAGGGTATCAGAATGGATTAAAATTCAAGACCCATCAATATGCTGACCACAAGAGACTCATTTTGGGCCCAAAGTTACCTCCAGCTTGAAAGTGAGGGGATGGAATCATTTACTGTGCTAATAGACATCGAAAGAGAGCTGGGGTATCCACACTTACATCAGATAAACTAGATTTCAAATGAAAGGCTGCAACAAGAAATGAAAAAGGGGACTATATCATAATAAAGAAGTCTATCCAACAAGAAGGTCTAACAATTGTAAATATTTAGGCCTTTTACTTGGAAGCAGCCAAATATATAAATCAATTAATAACAAAGTTAAAGATTTTACTGATAATAATACAATAATAGTAGGGGGCTATTAACACCTACATAGAAAAATGGACAGATCATCTAAACAGAAAATCAACAAGGAAACAATGGTTTTGAATGACACAATGGACCAGATGGACTTAAGAGATATATTCAGAAAATTTCACCCTAAAGAAACAAAATACACATTATTTTCAAGTACATGTGGAACATTCTCCAGAATAGATCACATACTGGGTCATAAATCAGGCTTCAATCAGTACAAAAAGATTGAGATCATACCATAAATATTTTCAGACCACAATGCAATGAAATTTGAAGTCAAACACAAGAAAAACATTGGAAAGGCCACCAATACATGGAGGTTAAAGAACATCCTATTAAAGGATGAATGGCTTAACCAGTAAATTAAAGAAGAAATTTTAAAAAAATACATGGAAGCCCATGAAAATGAAAGAAAAGCAATCCAGAAACTTTGGGATGCAGCAAAAATGGTCATAAGAAGGAAGTATACAACAATTCAGACTTTCCTCAAGAAGGAAGAAATATCTCAAATACACATTACCTTTCACCTAAAAAAGCTTTATTAGCAAATAAAGCCCCAAACCAGCAAAAGAAGGGAAATAATAAAAATTATAACATGAATAAGTGATATAGAAGTTTAAATAGAGTAGAACAGATAAACAAAACTAGAATCTGACCTCTTGAAAGAATTAACAAAATTGATAAACCCCTAGCCAAATATAACAAAAATAAAAGAGAAAAGACCCAATTAAATAACATCATGAATGTAAGAGGAGAAATCACAATCAACACCACAGAAATGCAAACAGTTATGAGAGAATATTATGAGCAATTATATGTCAACAAATTGGGCAATTCTGCAAGAAAGGGATAAATTCCTAGAAACATAGATACTACTAAAATGGAAACAGGAAAAAACATAAAATTTGCACAGACCCATAATTAGTAAAGAGATTGAATCAGTAATAAAACATCTCCTAAGAAATAAGACTCCAGGATCGGATGGCTTCCCAGGGAAATTCTACCAGATATTGAAAGAATAATTAATATGTATTCTTTTGAAACTGTTAAAAAAAATAGAATTGGAAGGTAAACTTCCAAACTCATTCTAAAAGGCCACCACTACCTTGATTCCAAAACCAAAGGCCCCACTTAAAAGGAGAATTACAGACCAATCTCACTGATGAACATGGATGCAAACATTCTCAACAAGATACTAGCAAAATGAATCCAGCGGTATATATTAAAAAAATTATTCACCAGGATCAAGGGACTGATTCTTGGGATGCAGTGGTGGCTGCACAGTGAAGGAAACAAGCAACAAAACTGCAACGTATCCTATGAGATGGGGGAAGATATTTGTAAATCACATCTCAGACAAAGGGCTAGTGTCCAAAATCTATAAAGAATTTATATTACCAAGAATAAATAATCCAACTTAGTAATGGCTAAAAGGCAAGAGACACTTCTCTAAAGAAGACATACAAATGGCTAACAGATACATGAAAAGATGCTCAACATCACTTATCATCAGTGAAATACAAATGAAAATGACAATGAGATGACACCTCACACCTGTCAGAATGGCTATAAACAACAACTCAGGAAACCACAGATGTTGAGAACGCAGAGAAAGGGGAACACTTTTGTACTGCTGGTGGGAATGCAAACTTGTGCAGCCACCCTTGAAAACAGTGTGGATTTTTCTCAGAAAGTTAAAGATAGAACTATCCTACAACCCAGCAATTGTACAAGTAGGTATTTGTCCAAAGGATACAAAAATACTGAACCAAAGGGACACATGAACTCCAATGTTTATAACAGGAGCATTATCAACAATAATGAAATTGTGGAAAGAGCCCAAATGTCTATCGAGTGATGAATGGATAAACAAAATGTGGTGTGTATACACACACACACACACACACACACACACACACACACACACAGTAGAATACTACTCAGCCATCAAAAGAATGAAATCTTGCCATTTGCAGCAACATGGATGGAACTGGAGGGTATTATGCTAAGTGAAATTAGTCAGTCAGAGAAAGACAAATATATGATTTCACTCATATGTGGAATTCAAGAAATAAATCAGATGAACATAGGGAAGGAAAGGAAAAATAAGATAAAAAGGAGGCAAACCACAGGAGACTCTTTAAAAATTTTTTAATGTTTATTTATTTTTGAGAGAGATAGAGGGAAAGAAAGAGCATGAGTGGGGAAGGGGCAGAGAGAGAGGGGGATACAGAATCTGAAGCAGGTCCTAAGTTCTGAGCTGTTAGCACAGTGCCTGACATGGGCTTGAACTCATGAACTGTGAGATCATGACCCGAGCCAGAGCTAGATGCTCTACTGACTGAGCTACCCTGGTGCCCCAAGAGACTCTTAAATACAGAGAACAAACTGAGGGTTGCTGGAGGGGTGTTGGTGACTGGATGGGCTACATGGGTGATGGACATTAAGGAGAGTACTTGCTGCGATGAGCACCAGGTGTTATAC